CCGCTGGTGCAAACGACTCTGCAATTTAGAAACACTGTAGAGCATCTTTTATGCAGTACGAGTTCCAACTTCTTTCCCACTGATATCGAAAATAGTGGTTTTCCAAGCCGAGTTCTTATTGAGAAGCCTTTTAAGTCGATAGTAGGATTGTTGTAGCAGAGGCTTGTATTGCCTAAGAGATATTCTACTTTTTCTGCATAGGACAGTATATGCTGAGTATAGCAGACTCTCATCTGTCTCCCTCACCTGAAATTAGAAGCGATAAATTCCAAGATATTCATTCTAAAATGGCATGCACGAAGTATTAAGGTGAAAAATAATTTAAGCTTAGACCGTGCGTATACCACTCGCATGCCTCACATGTCTTTGTACTTTTAGTCTCTGCACGGTGCTTCTATACTAGGTCAAGGGCAGTATTTAATGTAGTGGGTACCTATGAGAACTTCTTCATGACCCAGACCTACTCAGCGTCAGCCGCTGGATACGCTACGTGAAAGTATAAGGGAGATTTTCGCTCATTTGTAGCATGAACGTTTCGTTTAGTCAACACCTGGACGCGTGCAGGTACGGAGTCTTGATTCTCCTTTTGCCGTTGTTGCTGCAAAGAACTTCTTCAAGTCGGAGAAAGCCAACCTTCTGTGGAACTGTAAAGGTTGCATTTTTGTAAAGATTTCATACTTTCGATCTATGAACGACTGAAAGCTATCTAACCTGGGTCCGTTGCCTATCCTATTCTTTATACAGGAAGCGCCGTGTTGGTACTATCTAGCACTGAGGTAGATGCTTCTAACCAGTCATATTATGGTGAACAGCATGTAGGTGTCTTATCTGTGGTTTTCTGACGATGATGACGCCTTTGGCTTATAAAAATTTTTTTAGATATATCTTCTGAACTTGACTACACAAGAATCATTTCAAGTAAATGTACGTAAGAAGGGTCCCGTACATACAGCGAAGTGGAGTCCTACTGGGAAAGAGTTTTGTGTTTGCTACGGATACATGCCCGCCATGGTAGAGAATGTCCTTTGCGGTAGAAGCCTTGATTTTGTAAACTTTCAGGTGAGCCTGTACAATTTGAGAGGAGATGAGACATTCCATGTCGAAGAGGGTCCACGCAATGATGCTTTTTATAACAATTTCGGAAATATTTTATTAACATGCGGCTTTGGCAACCTGGGAAAAGGGAAGATGGAGTTCTGGGATGTAGAAAAGAAGAAACAAATTGTTGCTGTAAGTTTCCACAGTACAGGCTATGTGAAATTTACTTGCTCGCGCCATATACAGTACACCTACGCGTGCAAGTGGATAAAGGCTCGTCCTATACGGGCAGTCCGATCTGCTGTGAAGCGGGTGCGAACACAACGTGTGAGCATATTTCATCACAGCCCGCACGCCCGCGCACGCCTTTCACGAACAATCGCATTTTCGGAGACCAGTCTTTACGTTGCTTTCCAATGTGCCGACAGTCAGCGCGCGCCATTCAGAAAAACCACTGAAAACATCAATTAATTAAAAAAAAATGTTAGGCAGTTGCTTGCATAAGATCCTTTGCGACATCGGTTCGCGCGTTTAGTGTACAAGCTAAGGTGCAGTAGTTTTTTTATTTTAATTTTTTTATCGATCTTAGCGCAGTTGAGTATTCAGATTGAAGTCCCAAATACGACAATATTTGAGTGGGCTCCCGATGGTCAACACTTTGTTACAGCTACCACAACGCCGCGCCTTCGCATTGATAACGGGTATAGGTAGGTTATAGAGACTTTTCTATGGACGTTATTTTCAAGTGTATAATCCGCAGCTTCATCGCCCGCAGTTGCAGCGCGGCAGAGAAGTCTTTCCAGGAATGACTGCACTGCATTCCTGTTGCAGACTTAACTTTTACGATTAC